GTAGTGAGATATAACCTTCAAGGAATAAGCATGCCAAATCCATTTGGGAGAATGATGGTAAGGGAGAAGTGCTTTATTTAGTAGTGTGGGCCTGGTAAGCATCCTCCCTGCTAAGATTATGCTGAAAATAAAGGAAGTCGCAGACTGCTCATTTCCCTTGTACTGGTTGTAATCTTGTGGAAACTTCCTGTAAAAGGCAGTTATAGCATTAAAAGTAAACTGATTTCACACTCACCGGATACTACCAGACCAACAATTGCAGTCCTTTGGGAGAAAAATAAAATAGCATACTTATCCTTTATACTTTGTATTAGTTTGGAAGAACACGGAAACCCCAGTGATGGAGAAACAGACTCATGCCAGAGGCAAGGAAACTATTTAGAAACATGGTTACCATTTAGTAATTCCACTGAGAGGCAGAGCTCATTAGCCAAGAGACTGGTTACTCTAAAAAAAAAAAAAAAGAAAGAAAGAAAGAAAAAGAAAAAAATTGTTCATTAAACAAAGTACAGCATGAAAATAGACAATCCCCTTTGATCTAGGCACATTCTAGCTACAGTTTTAAAATTTTGAATTTTAAAACATCTGCTCGGGGTCATGTTTAGAAATGGAAATTTGACTATGTATTTTATGCACTGTTAGAACCTCACATGTTGGCACGACCATCTCCTCTTTTGGCTTTTCAAGTATACAAATCTCTGCTGAGAGCTTATTAGCACAAGGGATGGCGTGTGTGAAATGCTGAGCTGCTACAGTGTTCAGGTCGCAATAAGAAGCTGGAGGGGGCTCTGAATTTCCATCGCCGTGGTGGTCACTACAGCTTCATTTTTATACATATATGGGCTTTGCTATAATATTTCACTAGAAAAGCCTTCATTACTCAAAATGCTGAAGAGAACACCAAAGATACATGAAATGCAGCCTCTGCCTTCAAGCCACTTAACATTTAACTGGGAAAACAAACATAAACTCAGAAAAAGTTGAGTAGAGAGAGAGAATTATCAGTACAAGGGTAAATGGTAAAGGCAAAAAGAAAGGAATTTGAGAAGATAAAGTCTGAGTTCATCAAAAAGATGATCACTATGGACGGAGCGGTCTGGAAAGAGGGAGAACACCTTGAGTTGGAGTGCTACCCAGGCCTCCATGAGGATAGGCCACCTTTGCTGAGCTTGTGAACCTTGGTCTGATTCCTACCTAGAACCCAGAACCAACTTGTACCTTCCTAACTGTGATGATGTCCTACACTGGCAGTTACTTGGCACTTGTGCTGTTGGTGCATAAATACTTTTGATAATTAATCATCTAGAACAAGTTTGTAAGTGGTCGTGGTTAATTCCTAAAATTGAGGACAAGAGTAATGAGAGCCACCTGTGAGCAGCAGCTAGCATGACCAGCCTCTTTCCCACAGACCCACCTGAGAAAACACAACCAAGTAAATATAAGCACGCCCCTGCCCTGTTCACCCTGACATGGCCATAGAATCTTTGACTGGTGTTCAATGGTAGCTATACCAACTGAATGGAGCTGGAACTTTGGGTAAAACTGTGATCTGCATCTGTATTTATCTTTTCACACAGCTTTTCAGGTCTTATTAGATCCAACTTCCCTGGCTGAACCAGCCCTTTGGCCTTGACCTGCCTTAGCCTATGATAGACGTTGGGCCACACTTTTTTGTGGGCTTCTGGAATTGAGGTTCTTAGGTAGGGGTGTTCGGAGATGCGATGACAAGTAGTTGCAGGGAAAAGGAGAGAAGACTGTGAAGGGCTAAGAAGGACCAAGTACCTGGCATACTTCTGGAAAAGCAGATTTGTCAGTTCCATTACTGATCTGCTGATCCCAATCTTGGGAGTGGGGCTAAGGAATCTGCATTAAGGCAGTTCTTACAGTGTCTATTAAAAAAAGTTTTTATTATAGAAAATTTCAAATGTGTGAAATGATAAAGAGAATGTGCTCATTATCATTCCGTAGCCAATCTTGTTTCATCTCTATCCCTACCTCCTTCTTCCCACTCCTCACCCTACTGAATTATTTTGAAACAAATCTCAGATATATCATCTCATCTGTAGATATTTCAGTATGTATTTCTAAAAGATGATGACTTAAAAAAAAACCCACAACCACAACACTAATACTTTAAAAAACCCCTTATTATTATCAATCTCCAGTTAGTGTTTGCTTCCCCGATGATCTCAAATTTAAAAATATTTGTTCAAATCAGGATCCAAATAAGGTCTCCCACATTGCATTTGGTCACTCTGTCTCTTGTACTGGTAAAGGTACAGACACTGGGATAGCGCAGTGAGGCCTCTTGAGCTTAGGGTAGCTGCTGACAGTTGAGTTAGATTGGAAGACCCCTGGCCCTTGAACCTGAACATAGGGCCATTTCTGATTGTTTTACTGTAGAATTCTCTGTCCAGACCAAGACAATTTTCTAAAAAGCTGGTAAGATCTTCAACAACTGGGTGAGAGATGAGGGCTGGAAATGCCCCCTTAAAAAGAAAGGCACAAAAGTGTCCTGCAAGTGGTATGGGGAACACTGGAGGCAAGGAACAGTTTGGTGACTGTGTCTTGGTTATAGGAGTGGGAACAATCTCAAAAGCATGAATTTGGGCTATTGATCATATAGTGCCCCTTTAGGTAAATAATGTGTTTGAAAGTGGCCAGCACACAGTTCCTCGCACAGGAGAGCCAAGATGGTTTTCATATCTTCTCCCAAGGCCTGTCATTGATCCTTTCCCTGATGCAGCTGAACCTTAAGCAGATGCATATTTCTTCAAAAGAAAAGCAGGCCTCTGCAAGTGACCAACTTTCCTTGTGCTTACTTAATCATAATGACTCTGAGAGCAATCATTTATGGATGGCTTGCTAAGGGCCAGGCCATGTGTCTAGCAAGAGTGGTACACAGAAGAAACCCATAGTTATTCATCGAATGAACAAACAAGGCTGAGTTTTAACCTTTGGAGCCACTGCCACCACCTTGTCATGGAGTGTACTATCATCTCCATTTTACAAAATCAGAGTAAGAACTAGGATTTATTGAGCTCTTAATCTGTTCTAAGTGCTTCATGTATATTATTAGCTCATGAATCAGCACAGTAGCTCTATGAATTAGGTACTATTCTCCCCATTTTCCATAGGCAGCGTTTGGATAACTTGTCTAGAACACACAAATGATAACTGATGGGACTTGATTCAAATCTGAGAAGCCATAGTGGGTAGCAGTAGTAAGAAGGAGAGCAGGCCAGTACCAACACTCCCAGGTACAGGGTCTTCCCAGGAATAAGATAAAAAAACACAGGTTCAGGGGTAACAGAGGTAACCTCCGACTATCCCAGATCCCCTCACCTCTTCCAGCCACCAACACTGTCCCTTCCTCACTCTGAGTAAGGACAATGCTGCTGCCCAGGCAAGCTTTATATAAAGAAACCTCAGAAATCAATGGGCTGTTTTTTGGGGGCTGCCTGAGTGCTTTGGCTCCTTTATTCCTCATTTATTAAGCACCCACTCTGTGCAAAACAGGCTAGTGCCTGCGCTCTAGAAAGCAGCAATCCAGAAACCTCCTGGAGACGGATGGCAGATGAGGAGTGCTGGCTAGTTTGGGAGTTTTTCCCACTTTCCTCTTCATCAGGAATTGTCTACCCCTCAAGGTGGCAGGAGCAGCAACCTTCACTCTCAGGTCACAAAAACCTGAGAATGAAAAGAAAAGCACCGCACACAAAGCTAGACTGATAGCTAGGGAGATGCGTCAGAATCTTAGGATTCAGTCCCCAGGCCGGGTGGGTACAGGCTGGCTTTCTAGGTAGAAAGGGATAACAGAATTTGCAGAGCCAGGAGCCCTGAGTTCTCTAGTCCCGCAGACCCTAGACTCCCGGCTGAAACCCCAGCAGGTTTCTGTGCAAAAACCTTTCGAGATGAATGCATACATTGTCCTCTAACAATGCAAAAGTGACAGCTGCCTATTCAATAATGGTTCCGCCTCCGTTTAGAGCAGTTCGTGCCACAGAGGCATCTTCTGCGCTATAGTTATGCAACCTCACTCGCAGCGGGAGTTTTTTTTCCTGTGCTTCTGGCTGCGCCAGATTCATGTAACACGCCTACTCTGGGCTTCAATGGAAGTCGTTCTCCATTAACAACCATTCTAGCTTTCGAAGATGAATACCCTGCACAGCATACCCCTTGCACATTAAGAATTCAAGGTATTAAAACTAACTCTAACACACACACACAAACACACACACACACACACACGCTCCCGCTGTACATGCAGCTAGGGGACTGCAGCAATGCAACCAGAGGGACAGCAGGCGGAGCTCTCTTTGTACGGTCCCTCCCACTAACCCCCACCAACTAAAAATGAACTCATGCCAGTTCCATTCTTTGCTCTGCAAGAAAAACACACACACACACACACACGGCAAAACCGAGCAGCCTCCAATTTCCCCCTTGACCACACTGTCATTCTAGCCTCCTTGTTCTAACAACCCGGTTATTCCAAAGCGAGTAACGGGGAGTAACGGGGAGTAGCGCGGCGCAACAATGCAACCTCCCAAGCAGCTCCCAGTGCAGGTCCCACCCCCGCCCCCTTTCGCAGCGTGCCAAGAGTTTGGAGCGCGCGCACGCACACTGTACACGGTGCCTGGCGTATCCCTCCGCCTCCCTCCTCCTTTCCCCGCTCTGTGGCTCGACAACGATTTGGGAAATGAAGGGAGGAGGGAACTACTTTCCTGAAACTTGCTATGCTGCACACGACTTCGGGTTGCCGTGATTCGCCCGGAGGCCGCAGCTTTTAGCCCTACCCACACGCCCTCACAGCCCGGGTACTGCGCTCGGCAACCGCACCCCGTGCCCGCTCTGGCCCCAGGGGGAGGCAGGCGGCCGGGAGAAGTCGCCAGGGACTACTTCGCCTCCTTCTCCTGTGGGCGCCCCCGGTTCGGGCAGCGGCGGCGGAAGGAGCGGGCGGCGTGAGCGCTTCCGCCGCCCCCCTCACGGCTCCCTTCTGGCGGGTGTGAGGAGCTGGCCCGCGGAGCTGCTGGTGGGCACTGGCTGGTGGGGGACTTGCGGCCGCTGTCCCGCTCCTTCCCGGGACCCTGTCTCCTGGGCGCGCCCGCTCTTCTCCGACCCGGGTGGGGGAGATCGGCTCGCCGGCCCTGGCCTCACACGCTCCCCGCCGCCCCCTCCTCCCCCTGCTGGAGGCGTCCCGACTGGAGCGTGTCTGGAGGAATCCGCCGCCGCGAGGCCCCTCGCCCGGTCCGGCTCGTGCCTGAGGACCGCTCCGGCCGCCTCCGGGCGCTAAAAGGGCAGCCGGCGGCGAGGTGGGAGATGGTGGGGTGGGCTCCGGCAGGACCGCGCTGCCGCCGCCCGGAGCCTGGGCTCGGCACCCTCCCGCCGGCCCCCACCGAACGCAGCTCTGCTTCCTCCTCGCCGCATCCCTGAGGGAAGCGCCGCCTCTGCTCCCGGGTTCTCCGCCCGCCCGCTCCTTCCTGGCTGGACCCCGCCGCGCTCCACCCCGGTGGCGGGAGGAGCAGCTCTCCAGTCAGCCTTCGCAGCCCCTCTTCCCTTTTTCCTTTCCACCCACCCTCCCCGGCCTCCTCGGATCCCTTGGCTGGGCGCTGAGGCGGAGGAAGAGGCTGGGGTCGCCACGGCGGAGGTTGTTGCCGCCACCCCCCTGCGGGGGTGGCCGGGGTTCCCGGCTGGGGGGGCACCGTTCCGGGTGAGGCATCCACCATGGTGAGGCCCCTGAGCCGCTGCCCCCGCGCCCCCCCGGCCGCCGCTGCCTCCTGCCCCTCGGTGCTGCCGCTGCTCCTCCGCCTGCTGTTGCTCCTCCATCTCCAGATCGGATCGCGGTGAGGGAAAGATGAGCGAGGAGACGGCGACTTCTGACAACGAGTAAGCGCCTCATTGATCTTGATTAGTAACCCCCCCCATCCTTCCGACCCCTCTGAGACTTGGGTGCCGGAAAGCTTGCAAGCTTGGAGAGTTCGGTGCATCTTGTTCTGGAGATAACATTTGATTTCTTTAGCCATTTAATGGCAGCACCCTCTACGGCCCCCCCCCCCCCCCCTTTAGTTGCTTACTTCTGGGGGAGGGTATTGAGTGTTGGGGTGGGATGGCAATTGTACGTCAATGAGATGGAGTAATGTGGACGGATGCTGGCGGGGTAGAAATTACCTCTTTGCCTCGAAGACCCCCTGGCCTGTCCTTTTTCAGTTCAGCATACCCTGAATATCCATCCTGCTTCCATTATAGCTATTTTACTTGGAAACTAACGTGTGGGAGCACCTTCTGCAGCAAACTGCTCTTGAATCTTAATTCGATGAGTCAGTGACTCTTTAATACCGATTAAACCTCCCCCTCCCCCCCTTTTAAACTTACGACCTGTAAGCTTCATGTAAAAAAATGGAACTAGGGAAACATTTTTAGAATTTAATAACATGAAGGACACCTGGAGTGTGGGAGACGTTGAACTATTATATTTTACCTTTGCGAATGCTGGGCATGTCTTTATCAGGGGCATAGAATATTGAGTGTTAATTATTATCCTTCAGCTGTATTGAGAAACACCATTTACGTTGATTTAGCAGTATTTACATTGCAGAATATGTTAATGACTTCATTCATTAACTTCTGGAGTGTCCTGGCTTAAGTTTTTGTTTATTTGGGCTGTTTGTTTTCCAAACGAAGTACGTTGCCTTTTAAATATTTTGTTTTAACGTAACGGCTGCCTGAAAGAATAATGGTGCGGTAACAGTTTTTACTGAGACCGGATTTAATTCCGTGAAGAATATTTGCATCCGTTCTCTTGTAATTAAGTTCAAGTTTTGTTTATCTTTGGAGGTTTGGAAAGAGTTAAGAGAGTTAGGACTAGTCCTAGGATGCATTCCTTTAAATAAAGTGCATTCCTCGAGTCAGACCTTTTTGAGAGAACTTTAAAATCCAAAGTCTAGGCCTGCTTAACATAAAATCGCTTGAGAAATGCCAAGCCGCGTTTCTCCTCGAACCTCCACCCCCCCCTCCCCCCACCAACACACTCTTCTGATGAGCGGGTGTGGGAGAAGGTAGATTGCTGCAGTGTCAGTGCAGTCTGGAAGCAGAAGTGGCCGCCATGTTCTCTCTCTTTTTGTGAATCGCCCTCATTTGCATAGCACACTCTTCATTCATAAAAAAATAATTAAACATCCATCACCTTGGACATTTTGAAAGGATTTCCCAGGACAAAAATTCAAAGCTTTGACTGTCTGTCTTCATGTAGATTTTTGAGTTCAGGAAGTAAGGAGAATTCGAAGTTATAGGTTAAATTATAAAACATACGCACACAAACAACTACCCCTGTTCTCAGAATGTTGACACAGTTATGTGGGAAATATCAGTTCGGGGAGGTGCTGGGATCACGTGATCGCCTCCATTCATAAAATACCTGGCTGTCCATTCACAGTGCAGTACACTGTCTCACTGCCTTCCGCAGATTAGACCTACTTTGAGAGAGATCAAGAAGTATCTCAGATAACGCTTAGTTAGGGAGAAACTGCTAAAAATCCTGAACGGAAGGACGGTAATTTTTACTGGCATCTTTTAAGAAAGTAGCCTGGATCAAAATGTCAAATTCTGTTTTTAGAGATGGGAAAAGACTAATTACCATATTTAAAGTAAAATATTCATATTTCCTTTCTGGATGCATCTAATAGAAAAACAAATGAGGGAATGTGAATTGACACATGCGTAAAATATATTGTTTATAAATGGCTCTTTTTCTAATACTTGCTATGGACAGATTAGAATGCAAATTTTTCATGTAGTGATATTGGTGGATGATAATGCTGTTACACTGAAAATGAGTAAAAATTCCCAGTACTTTAATCCCAAAGATGTTGATATTTGAGACACCAAAAGGCAAGTTGGGAGGGTTGCCTTTTTTTTTTTAATTTAAAAAAATTAAAAGTTGTTGATATAGGACAACTTGGAAATTACCTCGCTCACTCAGACCTTAGGATTTTGTTTTCATAAATTTATCCTGCATTATTAATAAGTTATTTCCTAGAGGCTCTGTTATGTTTTGGTAGAACAGAAAAAAAATGTTTTAGCATATATATTTTTTTTATGAGATGTTAACACTTCATGGGGACAGAACTCTTGGGGGTTTTATTAAAAAATTTTTTTTAATTCTAGGAAGTGATGTGTTCATCTGGTAATCAGTTTTATTAGAGCCAACATTGTACATTAGCTAAGCAAAAAGTGTGAACTTCTTAGGAATGTAGTTTTTATTCCAATAATTTATCTTATCTTTAATATTTAATGTTTTGAAACAGTAATTTATTACTTATCATTGTATATAGTATGAATAAACAAAAGATATGTGTATGTTATGGCAGACGCCCTTAAAGCCTCAGCATTGTAAGACTCCCCTGTAATACGGATTTTATCTGGGCCTTAAATATATTTTTTTCTACCTTCTTTTCTCCTTTTTCTAGAAGCCATAATCAATAGGAATTCATTTACATTAGACACTGTTCTTAACACTTATATGTTTTTTCACCTGATTTCAACGTTTGAAAGAGTGAATATCACCAATATTTTGGGAAACCATTAACTTTTTCTAGGTAACCATTGTGGAAAAATCGAGTAAGGCCTTTAGAGGCCTCATTTTGAAATCCTCTAATATATGCTCTATTATTTGAAATTAGAGTTCTGTTTGGAGAAATAGCTCTCAAAAGTTGTGAGTGTATATTTAATCAATAATTAAGAATCTATTATGTGTAAGACTTTATCTTAGGCAATGCCAAATTTGAGGAAGGGTTGGTAAAAGTCTACTTTTCTTTTCCATCCTTCAGTAATAACTGGAACTGATTTAAAGTGTCATTAAAAAAAAAAAACAACTTTCCTCCTTGCAAAAGTAGTAATTTCAGTTAATGTCCAAAATAGTCCTTAAAGGGAGTAATTTATTTGTGTATCTGTTACTCACATGACAAGTCTTAACATTTGATATACTATAATCAAACCTTTCCTATGATGTTGAGGATGAATCATGTTCATTTATTGGATTTTTACTATGTGCCATGCACTATGATGAATTTTTTCTGTATTATTTTATGTATATACATGTATTCTTTATAGAGTGGAATTGCATAGTAGAAACTTCATACCCGAAAATATTGTGACCCTTTTCCTATGTCATTAAATATTTCCTAGAACATAGTTTTTAATGGCTACATTATGGTTCAGTGTATAACATACATTAGTTTTAATCAGTCTACTATTGTTGGATAATCTTTTATTCCTGAATAGTGCTGCATTTGATCCTGGGTTCTGTCCTCATCCAAATCGTTTACTCCTTCCTTAAGATACTCTAGGAATGGAGTTAAAGGAGATGCAAACTTTAAGTTGTTCTTTCTGCTACATTGCCCTCTAGAAAAGGAAAACTCACATGAGAGTGCTTATGTCTTGAAATATCTGTCCAGTTCTCTTTGAAAACATTTTTGCCAATTTTGAAGGTGGAAATGAGATCTTGTTCCTATTTTTAAAATGTGCTGGATGGTAAAATAAAATTGATTAAAAAAACCCAAAACTTGTTAGGTTGTTTTGGGCAACCAGACTGTTTTTAAATATCATATTACGAATAGAATTAAAGTGATCATACAAAAATTTTGCAGATAATTTACTTTTACCAATTCCTATGTAGTATGGTGTAATGTAAAGAGCATTGGACTTGGAATTGGGAGATGCCTTTCTGTCCCAGCTGTCACTAATTAATATGTGATTCTGGACAAGTACAGCCTCTGGGCCTCAGTTTGCTCATTTCATTTGAGCAGTTTGAACTAAGCATCATTATAGGCTCTTCCTGTACTAAATTACCCTAAAACAATACAGTGATAGGCACATTACAAATCACTAGACTTGTAACATATGTATTTGTTAATCAATTCTTTTTTTGATTAATTTTATTATATTGTTGTTTTTGACATATGTAAGCAAATGAAAGACTTCCAGTAGGGATCTGGTAGGATACTGAAGTAAAAGCATGAATTTTGAAGAGCCAAGATAAAAAATTTGGAGACAATTGGTACATTCATAATCTTTTAAGGTTTTATTATTTTGGGCTTAATAGCCACATGTCTTTGATAATATATATACCTCACAGATGGAGAACTTTGTACTGCTCTTTTTTTTTTTTTCCTTTTAAATAAATATGGCCTCTGGATGAATAAGAGAACAAAAGGCTATTGGGCTTAAACACCAACTTGAGTAGTTCTAAAAGGAGTACACTAACAAGAGACCAGCTCTCATGCTTTACTTAATGGCTAAGAAGTGTCAAAAGTAAGTCTTTTCATTTGGTTATTCATACTAATCATAATAACCTAAGACGAAGGGATAATTTTACACTTACTTTAAGAAGTTAACACAGATAATGAATTTTTTTATTCTTTAATAGTTAGATTTAATTCACTATTTATGACAAGTTTTATGTCTTAGCTGCATCTCATTTTAGAGTCAAGAACCAGTCATTACAAATCCCTGAGATGTTTTTGTGGCACTCAGAATGGTTTGAAATGAAAAAGATCTGTTCATGTATTTCTGTTTAAACGTAGTTCGTTATTTTTGCTAAAACATAGTTCATTAGTAATGGATCTTAGACTGAGGTGTTAAATTGCTTCAGGCATAGGGTTCTTAGAATTAAGAGTGTTTTTACTAATCTCTAATTGAAACTTGTTTACATTCATAATTGAAGGAAATTCCAACAAACCATAGCATTAGAGATACTTGTGACAGCAGTTAGTTTCCTAGGGCTGCTGTAATGTGACAAAGTACCACAAACTGGGTAGCTTAAAACAACAGAAATTTATTGTTTCAATTTTGGAGGTTGGAAGTCCAAAATCAAGGTATTGGCAGGGCCA